TGGCGCTCGCTGGTTCGCCCATCACTGATACTGACCTTGTTTCTGTGATCATGTCTAATGTTGGACCCAAGTTCGAAAACACCGTTGCTGCTGCCCAAGCTCGTGAAACTCCAGTGTCTTATGTTGATTTGGAAGCCCTTCTCCTCTCTGCCGAGCTTCGCCTCGCCAATCCAACTCCTGCTGTTGATCACTTTGTTCACGCTATGGCGGCTTCCCACAATCGCGATTCCTCTCGCGGGGGTGGTTGGTCATTCTCTGGTTGCAACGATGGCCGCTCCACTCGCGAGGGTGGATCCTATCGAGGCACCTCTAATGCCTCTTGGCATTCTAACCGTGGTGAACGAAATGGTGGCTTCTATCGAGGCACTCCTAATGCCTCTGGAAATTCTCATCGTGGTCAGCAAGCTGCAGGCCTTTTAGGCCTATCCCCAAATCAGCATAATGCCTCATCTTCTTCCCCCTTTGGTGAGTCCCGCATCAAGTGTCAAATTTGTGGTGGTCTTGGGCATCTTGCCATTGATTGTTTCAACCGTATGAATCTGGCGTATGAAGGGCGTATTCCATCTAAGCGTCTCACGGCTATGGTGGCTCAAGCTCCTCAATCCGACAAACCTTGGCTTCTAGATTCCGGTGCTAATTCTCACATCACCAATGACTTGGGAAAACTCACTCTTACTCGAGAATATCGTGGCAATGATTCTGTTGGCGGTGTGCTTGGTGGAACAGGTTTGCCTATTAGCCACATCGGTAACTCAACCTTATCATCAAATAACCTCACTTTTAAACTGCAAGATGTCCTCCACTGTCCTAATGCTTCAACTTCCATTGTCTCTGCATATCAATTTATGAAAGATAATGGTTGCTTCATTACCTTATTTCCTGATTATTTCTTTGTCCAGGATTCGGTGACGGCGAAGATCCTTTTTTGGGGCAAGAGTAGGGATGGTGTTTTTCCAATTCACTCCTCATCCAAACCTTTTCATGGTCGTGTAGCAATGCTAGGTGTTCGTGTTGGTGGCAATATTTGGCATTCTCGTCTTGGTCATCCCTCGTCTCAAGTTTTTCAATTTTTATTTTCTAGAAATAAATTGCCTTCTTCTGACAAAATCTCTATGAATAATTTTTTTTGTCATTCATGCCCTTTGGGCAAAAGTATTAAACTTCCTTTTTCTCCATCCTTGTCTGTTACATCTTATCCTCTTGAACTCATTCATTCTGATGTGTGGAATGCTTCAAATTTATCCATTAGTGGTTATAAATATTATGTTTTATTTGTTGACAATTATTCTCGTTATTTTTGGATTTTTCCAATGCGCATAAAATCTGAAGTTTACTCCATCTTTGTTTCGTTTAAGACTATGGTTGAAAATCAATTTTCTACTAAAATTAAAATGTTTCAATCGGATGGGGGGGGTGAATATACTAGTACTCAATTTAAAATTTTTTTTACTCAACACGGGATTCATCATCGTCTTTCTTGTCCTCACCATCCCGAGCAAAATGGTTTGGCGGAGCGTAAGCATCGCCACATTGTCGACACTGGGCTCACATTGATGGCCCAAGCGTCGATGCCTCCTGCTTATTGGGCCGAGGCAATGCACACTGCGGTATACTTAATAAACCGTCTTCCTTCCAAAGTTTTAGATTATGATACTCCTTTTCACAAACTGTTTGGCAAAGAACCCGATTATACCTTTTTAAAAACATTTGGTTGTGCATGTTTTCCATACTTGCGTCCCTATAATAATAATAAGCTACGTTATCGTTCTACCAAATGTGTGTTCTTAGGGTACTCTTTGAATTATCAAGGGTATAGATGTTTAGATATTTCCACCAACCGAATTTTTTTGTCATGCCATGTTCTTTTTGATGAGTTAAATTTTCCATTTTCTGAGCTATCCTCTACTCTTGCCTCCAACAAGACATCTTCGTCCCCGGATCCCGCGCTTGAAATTATTGGACCCCTCCCCACACCCACATCCCAGCCCACGTCACTCCTTACTCAACCCATTCCCCAGATGCCAATCTCTTCCCAAGCGGTGCACCTTCCCACCATCCAACCCGTGCAATCCAACATCATACATCCTACCCCACCCCTCCCTATTCCCCCCGCCTCGATGCCCACCTCATCCACTACCGCTCAACCTGCACCTTTTGTTCCCTCATCGCCTACCGTCCCGCAACAACCTACACCTGCCCCCTTACACGTTTATCACCGTAAACATTCTCGCCCTCCAGCCTCTGCACCTATTTTGCCAACTTCTTCAACACACCCACATGTCCCCGCCACGTCTTCGGTAAGAGAAATGAATGCTCATTCTATGGTGACTCGGAGTAAATCTGCTGGTCTTAAGTCACATTCCAAATATGCTCATTATGCGAATGCTTCTGTATCTCCTAATGTTCTCTTTGAGCCTACTTGTTTCAGCCAAGCCAATACATTTCCTGAGTGGCGTCAAGCAATGGCAGATGAATTCAATGCTCTTCAACGAGCTGGCACTTGGGTTCTTGTTCCCCGTACTAGTTCCATGAACATTTTGCCAAATAAATGGGTCTTCCGTATCAAGAGGAACTCTGATGGCTCCATCCAACGATTCAAAGCCCGCCTTGTTGCAAATGGGTTCCATCAACAACCTGGACTCGACTACGGCGAAACTTTTAGCCCCGTGGTCAACCATTCCACCATTCGTCTCATCCTTGCTCTTTCTGTTCAGTTTCGATGGCCTGTTCGTCAGCTTGATGTTCACAATGCATTTCTCCATGGTTTTTTATCTGAAGACGTCTATATGCGCCAGCCCAGTGGTTTCGTGGATTCTCAATTCCCTGATCATGTTTGTAAACTTCAGCGGTCTCTCTATGGTCTTAAACAAGCCCCTCGGGCATGGTTTCAATGTTTCTCTTCTCACTTGGAGGATTTGGGTTTCACTCCTTCCCAGGCCGACACATCTCTTTTCATTTATCTTCTTGGATCCATACGCATTTATTTGCTTATCTATGTCGATGATATTTTGATCATAGGAAATGACATGTCTCACATTACGCAGTTGATTGCCGACTTAGGCCGTCGATTCTCTATGAAGGACTTAGGCCCCGCTCATTATTTTCTTGGCATGGAGATTGTTCGAACCTCATATGGCTTATCTCTTTCTCAACATAAATATGTGCAGGATCTTCTATCACGTACGAAAATGGCAGCAGCTAAACCTGTTCATACCCCCGCTGTCAGCGGTCAAAGACTCAGCCTTCAAGATGGCGACCCTCTTCCAGATCCCATGGAATACAGAAGTGTTGTCGGTGCTTTCCAATATCTCACTCTCACCCGTCCTGACATTGCGTTTGCAGTCAATCAAGTCTGCCAATTTATGCATCAACCTACCTCTCACCATTGGTTAGCTGTCAAACGTATCCTACGCTATCTAGTTGGTACTCCTTCTCACGGTCTTACATACAAACCTAGCTCCATTCTTCTCACTGCCTATTTTGATGCCGACTATGCCGGTGATCCTGATGATCGACGATCCACTGGTGGATATTGCATTTATATTGGTTCTAACCTTGTCTCTTGGAGTTCTAAGAAACAGGGTGGTGTTTCTCGTTCTAGTACTGAAGCGAAGTACCGCCAACTTGCCTACACTGCCGCTGCGATCTCCTGGTTTCGTAAACTTTTTCATGATCTTCGACTTCCCCTGTACTGTCCAAAAGTCCTTTGTGATAACATTAGCGCAATATCTTTAGCCTCCAATCCTGTATTTCATGCCCGCACTCGTCATGTTGAGGTAGATTATCACTATGTTCGTGAAAAGGTTGTTCGTAACGAGCTACAAGTTCTTTATCTTTCGACACATGATCAGATTGCTGACATCTTCACCAAAGGTCTGTCTGTTACTCGCTTTCGCTATCTTTTGTCCAAGCTTCCAGTGCTCTTTCGCCCTGTCAGCTTGCGGGGGTGTGATAGACAAGATGGAGACAATCATGCTCATCAGGCCACGAAATCATCTGTCCAATAGATTATTTCGTGATCATACTCATTTGCCTTATTAAGATCCCTGATTTCATGTAAATATTGATTTGTAGAATCTTTCCTTATGCAAATTGTCAAAGCCTGTAAAACCCTCTGTAAGACTGTATAAATAGAAGATACTGAGATCAATGAAGATTATCCAAAGTTTCAAACAAAAACCTTGTGCGTGTTCTTTATGTTATTCCCTTGCACTGTCTAATCTTTCATTAATGTCTATTCCGACGGTCGAGTATTACTCAAAAGAGTTACTAACCTGAGTGGGAAGCTTACAAGTATTCAGACATATACCGATGCATTTGCTTTCTTCTAAGTACTTGCATTTCTGTACAAACACCTGCATCAATGGTGAACCCTCCCATTCATTATGTTTATCGCGACCATGAACCTGACCTTAAAAATAAAAATGTAAACGAAGAACGGCGAACTGAACTCGCTCACCCCACTACTCCAGTCCATGAGGTCCCCGTCTGGTAAGTCGACAGAATTTACTGTGTAAGGACCCATGAGCCATTGACAAGTAATTGCAGTTACCCTTGCAACCATGATGGGCCATGGCAGCTACTTTTCCACCTTGTAAAGGTGCTATCAGCAACCTATAAAGGTCTAGCAGCAACGGTGGAAACAAGGATCTCAATATTCTTACCTGCCAATTGAGCACTAAGCACATACATAACACTCACTTATGGGCATCATCTACCCAATTAACAAACACACATGGTACCCAATTAACAAACACACATGGCTCCTTACATCTAAGTGGGCGAATCGCAATGCACATATCAACTATGCGAATCACCCATAGTACAACACGTGACTAATAATTACAGGTGACAATGTTAGCATCGACATCAAAATATCCTCAATTTGTATAGTATTCCCTCTTTATAAACAAGTCACAGTTTGACATTTCTACATAATTGTTTCTATTTTTTATACAAGTTATATCAAACGGGGCTTTGGTGCTTCGAGTTCAATTTGATCTAATATTTGTATTGCATTGCTTAATGGTTCATAGATTTCAAGAAAGTAAGTAGTAATATGTTCTGTTGTTGATTCGGTTGCTTGTGCAGATAATGGAATGGATGGATTTTAGGAAAATGGAGTACTCGAAATCAGACTATGCAATACGCGTGGATATTACAGCCAAAGTCAAAGGGATAGAAGCTGCTGAGGATTATGTCAGTGGCCTACCGGAATCTTCAAAGGACCTATTCACTTACAGTGCACTTATGCGCTGGTACTGCAAGGAACTGATGGAAGAAAAGGCACTGGCGCTTTTTGCGACGATGGATGAGTTGGGATGTGCTTCGTCTACTTTTATCTTTAACAGTCTCATGTCTCTGCATATGAGAAAGCAGAACTCAGAGAAAGTGGATCCTTTAGTGCAAGAAATGAAGAAGAGAAACATCCCTCTGGACAAACGTACTTATAAAACATGGATGCAGAGCTACGCCGCCTTAGAAGATTTTGAAGCACTAGGAAGAGTCCTGGACGAAATGAAAACACAAGACGGAAAAAAAGGCAGTTGGTCAGCCTATAGTAACCTGGCTGATATCTATGTAAAGGCGGAGCTTTTTGACAAGGCAGATGAAGTCCTTAAGACGGTAGAGAAACTGGTGAAACCCCTGAAGCGGCGTAAGCATTACTATTTTTTAATTAGCCTCTATGCCTGCACTTCTAATCTAAGTGGAGTCAAAAAGGTATGGAAAACACTCAGGAAATCTTTCCCCACAAAAAACAATGAAAGCTATCTTGTAATGCTTCAGGCCCTTTGTAAGCTAAATGACATTGAGGGATTGAAAGAAATGTTTGAGGAATGGGATGGGAGTCCATTTGCTCCAAATATGATATGAGTTTGGCAAATGTTGCTATACGCGGGTACCTCAGTCAGGGCATGCACGAAGAAGCAGAATTGATCTTGTCAAATGCCTGTAAGAAGACTAAAGGTAAAGGGTCTTTCCTCGGGGCTCGGGAAATGCTCATGGTTCACGCCTTGAACACCCGTAAGGTGGATTTGGCTGATAGCCATTTGGGAGCTGCTGTTTCAGAAAGCAAGGATGGCGAATGGCATCCATCCCCAGATACCAGAATTGCATTTCTCAAGTATTTTGAGGACGAGAAAGATGTTGATGGTGCTGAGAAATTTTGCAAGATTCTGAAGCGTCTAGGTTGTCTCAGTTGCAATGAGTATTGTTTGTTGCTTAAGACTTACATAGCTGGAAAATCGGATCCTGCGATGCGTCAGAGATTAAAGGAAGAGCATATTGAAATCAGCCCCGAGCTTGAGCTTGAGAATTTACTTGAAAAGGTTTCCGAGTGAATTGATTGCTTAGAGCAGCCCCCTAGAACTTCCAACACATTTTTCGGTTCTTGAACTTGTATAAAGGGAATCTTTAGCGTTGGATCTTTCGAGCTTTCAGTATTTTCAGATTGATGCAATCGGTATTGTATCAACACGTAAGTATGCAGGCATAGATTTTTCTGTTTATGGCAACGATCACAAGAATATCGCCAACTACCGCTACTTTGAAATCAAGAAACCGCAAACTAAGGTTAAGTGTTTGTAAAGATGAAAGGTTATATGTATTATGTGACTAATGACTGTGATGTTGCCGAGACACGAAAAACATGAAGCTTCCTATAACTATTTGGTTTAGTAAAAAGTAAATTTAGAACAACATTGTTTTGTTGTGCTACGCAAGCCAACCACATATTCTGCGGCTGCTCACAAGAATTCGACATCTTCTTCCTGATGCTCCAGAACAATGGTGGCAAGAGCAAGTCTATAAGCTGAAGATCTCAAATTCCTGACTAGAACATATATTTCCTTTCGTCTTTGCTTAGCTGGCACCGAATCCCATTGTTCCTCTCTGAGACGAGCGAGTACAACTGCCTCGCAAAAAGCTTCTGCTACTGGCTTCTTGCTGCACATAAAATAAAATGCAACTTAGCATGCGGCAAATTATGAATGCATAGCAAATAGAAAGAAAAGATGGTGGTTGTAAAGTGGCAGGATGCTGTGAACTAACCTCCCTCTAACAAAACCAGTGGTGACGAAGCCTATTGGCGAACGATGAGTTTCTCTAAGAACAGCGTCCTCTGGTATTTGGACTTCCCACTTACCATAAGATTGCTCTGCGAAGTATGATGCCACAGCAGACTGAGGCATCTGAAGTCCTCCATCGAAACTATCTGACCTGCAAGACACACATGAAGCTTATTTTTCAAAGTTATTGATCTGCATCACGAAAATTGCTCTGAAATACGTACAAACGTCTTTAAAAAATAACCACAAACTTTCAAGTCACTCCCAAGATTAATATTTTCAATGGTTACATTAAATTTCATAAAAATTTCAGCAAAGCAAGTTCTGAATAATGAGGCGTAATGTAAATAGATCACATTATCTCTCAAACAAGCCTTCATCCTGGTCCAGGCACATTAGAGCAGACACATTAAATAAAATCATTAATCATTACGACAACAAGTCTACTAGTAAATAAAAGTCGACTTAATTTCAAATCATAATTAAGTCCAAAGAAAATATGACTACCTGGTCCACAGTGAGATGTCCGTCAGTCGAGGCGCACAAATTACTGCTCCCTCTTCAAGAAAACCTTCCTTGTAAGCATGGAGCAATACTCTAACATAACATAATTTACGATTGTACTTAAATCTAGCAAGCTGATCTTGGCCCGGTTCAAGCTTTATTTCACCCCTCATAGACTTCGTAAAACTTGTCTCCTTATCAGCCACATAAGGATACATACGCAAATGACAGCCTTGAATTTCATTCAAGAAATTTGTCAGTGAAAATTTCGTCCGTGCTACAAAACCATCAAATGAATCTCCATGACAGCCAGCTAATGTAGCATCAGAGTTTCCACACTCTGAATTAGATGATGAATCGCTTCTGACACCATGTTGTTGCCAAAAACTTTCAGCATCTCCAACTGCAACAGATTCTTCTTTTAAAGCAACTCGGATACTATTCCATGGGGATAAAATGGGAACCTTCAAAGGTCTTATGGCTGGAGGACGCAGTTCATCTTTAAGATTAGAGGCAGCAGCTTCGGTTTCCTTGAGGCATAAATATGCATTGCAATCAGGAAAATCTGAAGGAAAATATGGCAACCCCACCTAGAAAATAAAAGGGACTTAGATGCAACGTTCCATAACCTTATATTAAATATTATACCTAATAAGTTTGAATGCTTACTTCACTTGAAATCCAGCGCTTCTCTCTCAAACCCAATGCATGAGCCCCCTTAGAGACAAGAGAAATCCAAAATGCCTTGACCCAGCTTAAGGGGAGTATAACAGACCATCTGTAAGGCAATAAGAGATAGACTTCTAAGGTAACTTTACAAATATGAAAGTCAATTGAACAGATGATAAAGTTTGTGATGCAATTTTAAGGCGAGTCAGAAAAGAACAGATTGTCACATTCTGCTGTTCATGAAATTCAGAATTTCGAAGATCACGTTAACAATTATTGCACGAAGAGTCAGTGGGGTAAAAAAGACAGAGAACTCTATAATATATCTTATGAGAAACAAAATATATTAACATTTTATAAACAGTACGAACATACATCTCAGAAGAAATGGTGTCCACTGAACCCACATATAAGCATTAATACAAGAACATCAAATATGCAGCAATTAACTTAATCCACATAACCCTTAATAGAAGAATAAACCAGGAAAAAAAGGAGTTTACCCAACATGCAAGCCTCTTCCGTTACTATTCTTCAAAAGCATAATCGGGCAAGACCATGAGCCCTGTGACGTGGAGGAAGTATTTAGTGCCCCTGAACTTGAATCATCGAGGCAGAAGAAATTCCTCTTCTGGTCATGTCTTTCATTGCAAAGAACAGCCTCTTCCACTGGAGGGCTTACTCCACTGCTAACATCCCACAAATTGTTTGCTCTGATCTTGCCACTACCTGCAGGTTTGTCTGAAAATTGTCCACAGATAATATGCTCGTTGTCTTCAGTTCCTAGTACATCACCTAGTATACTAGCTGAACCTAAATCTTCAGCATCTGCAGTGTTTCCCTTCTCTGTTAATGTGCGAGGATCCTTGACATTAAGGGACAAAATTGCATGAGAAGGAATTTCCTCCTCGTTTTTAAGATGAATTGTAGATCGGGAATCCACATCTGCCTCGGCAGCTGAATGTCTCATCAACTTCCAAGAAGTATCTCTAGTCCTATTCAGCCAGACAACAAAATTAGCCATCTTTAACCTAATTACTTGGTTAAGTCAATGAAATCCTCTCCGTAACTCACCTGGTAGCAGGGATTAATGTCCTTTGAAGGAGTTGAAATGCTTTTGATCCCACTAATTCTAATTTTGCAAGTTGACCCTCAAGTGAGGAACAATTAATCACGATGCCCCTGCCCTCCATCTAAGATAATAAAGCATTATATGAATAACAGTAAATAATCTACCGAGAACATGTAGTATCATCTAACAGTAATGAGTTCTTTATTCTGACATCTACCAAGTCTAGACTAGAGGCGAACTTTGACACATCAGCACAGCACAAAAACCACTTGAGAGTAGCATTTGAAAAAAATGTTGGCTTATCAGAGAATCAAGTACAAAGCATAGAAGTAGACGAGTTTCAGTATTCCCCTAAATCATCATTCACTCAAAGAATTAAATACCAAACCAGGACTGTTGCATTCTATCTTAAGATCTATAAATCATCATTTCCTTCCTTCCGACGTGAAGTCAGATGAGATTAAGCCTCTATACACTAGCTATTGATGTATGTGTGAACAAAAAGAAAGAATGGGTACCTCTTTTTGGCAAGCTAATTTCATAGTGTCATAAGCTTCAGTGAGAGCAGAAGCATGTATCCACACCCAAAGCTGGCGATCAGTAGAAGAGTGCTTTGTACCCTCTAGCCCATTAAATTCATCGCCTTCACAGTCAGCTGCATTATTATCTCTATTTGGTTGGCCAGAAGGCCGCCACATACAGTTCACAGGAGCAATTGGTTTTGAAAGAGGTGCTCCCAAATGATGAAGCTGCGAAAAATGGGTCATCAAGTCAATACCTCAAGTCATCCACATTCACAAAGAAAAGTGCAATAGGACAACTTACCATAGCATTATCATATATGACACCAGAAATAACAGAATGGGAAACAGTTTCAGAACGAGTTGACGGAGGAGACACCATTACCATGCCTAACACTGATAGTAACGAATCCTGGATGCATATGAAGTAGGGTGTAACATCATAATTTAGTAGCAGAAAATAACATATTGCAACAGTTTTCCTTTTGAAGAAAAATAAATTAAAAGGTATACAATTTCATAGGAATAAATTCATAAGATAGAAAGTAAATGCCTGCCTCCGGCCCCTCCAATTGGATAGCTACATGATAGCTTGCATCATGAACAAGCACTCCATCCCTGAACCACTTCAAGACAGCTCTGGAACCCCTTCCTCTACATTTTATTGTTTTTTTTTTTTTTTTGATAAAATAGATATACAAGCGAATTAGTTATTTATCAAGAAATAGAACAAATAATAAGCGGAAAGTAAGGAATAGTACTGGTAAATTAATAATGCGTTTTACCTGCCCTGCAAACCCAAGGGAAGGTAGTAACCCCAAAGCTTTGTCATTGTGAACCGCTTCGCATGCCAAACATGTGTTCTAAGCCTCTTTGTACCATCCCCTGATGTGCAGAAACCCTTTTCAAGGTTCATTTTAAGCTCAGCTCTCCGACGAATGCGACGAGGAACATTCTTCTTGTCATATTTCCCTGGAGGCAATGTCAAAGCATTACTCTGATCAAGTTTTCGCTTCTTTCTACATCTTTTTTTGGCGGCTTGATTGTCGTAAGCAGTGGTTCTTCTTCTCTTGCTTCTCCGAGACCGGAAATCATTGTTCAATCTGTTAGATACAATTGAATGGAGTGTCTCAAGCTCTGAACCCCGTGATTCTGCAAACTTTTGGACATTGATTTTTCGAGGCGGAGCTGATGAAACCTGTTGCCGTCTGAAACCATCGGTAGCCATTAGACACAATTAAACCCCTCAGATGAAGAACGATATTATACCAGTCCGCCACACAAAATTATAATCGCCTCTTCACTCTTCGGACATCATCGGTCTCTATTCGCAGTACTAGTCTATTACTCTGAAATGTCCAAAAACAATTTGTAAGATTCTTCAAAGCTTAGCAATCGCAACTGTGGTTCCGATTCCAATTAAATATAAAGTTGGAAACAATAGAAGACATGAGATACGAAATTCAATCTAACTAACATCAATGATACAACAACTTCAACTTAACTTTCAAAAACCAATATGTAAAGACACAAAGCTAAATGAGCAACTGCAGTATCCGATAAATATATAAAGATTGAAACAAAGAAAACTATAAGATAGAAATTCTGAATGCAATGTGAGCAACAAAATCAATTACTTGGCACTGCCACTGAGGGAATTTAACATAAGAAACTCCTCACATCAATCACCAGTTGCGTTTCGTGTATCCAAACTCATCAGATATGCTCACAAGTTCATACTAACAATTATTTTAAAAACAGAAACATAAGAAAAATAAAAACAAGGATGCAGTGGAGACTCACCCGAAAACTCTGTGAGGTTGCGAGATTATCGGAGCTGAATGGCTTCGGATTTGTGTTTCAGGTGACGTCACAAAATTATATATCAGCCAACGAGAGCGAGCAGCAAAAGTAAAGTTAATTAATTTCAATGAAAATATTGAGAAATAAAGAATAAAACTTTACAATCTGCAAGTAGAGAGAGAGTACCTGACGACCTGACTACTGGGAGAAGAAGAACGGGTGAGAGAGAGGGAGAGGAGAGAGAGAGATTTTGCAGCAGAAGACCTGACGACCTGACTACTGGGAGAAGAAGAACAGGTGAGAGAGAGAGGGAGAGGAGAGGGAGAGATTTTGCAGCGGAAGAGTGGAGAAAGAAAGGAGGGAAAAGAGGTACCCGATCAAGCGGCTGCCTATTTGATACCTGGAGCAATTTAATTGACCGTTGGATCAATCTCAACGGCTGAAACTAAACACTTTCTGTATCCAAGTAAAAGAAGGCATTGGACTGAAAACTCCACTCAGGACTCGGACTGATTCATCGGCGCTCTCTCTCTTTTGTTTTAAGTGATGGATCATAAAAACTAGGGAAGCCAGATCTGCGTCGTTGTTTCAGAGAAACACATCTTCTTCTCGGCCCTCGCCAATATCTCAAACCCGAAACACACACACACGAGGGAGGCCAAATGGGCATCAAAGACCACGCCTCAGCCTTCTTCTTCTTCCTCGCAATCTCTTCCCTCTCTACCACTTTCGCCGATTCAATCCACGGCTGCGGCGGCTTCGTCGAGGTAAAAGACTTCATCTTTTTCACTGTTAGAGTTAATGGGTTTTACCCCTTTTACCTGATCGAGTATGTAATCGCCACTGTAAACTTGCAGGCTAGTTCTTCTCTGATCAAGACCAGGAAGGCCACCGGTGTTAAATTGGATTATTCTCACATCACGGTAAAAAAAAATTTGGAATTACTGCCTGAAATTTCACTGCATTTTTGCCACTGATCTAAACCCGGATACGGGATATCGAACAAGTAACAAATTGATTGTGGGATTTTAGGTTGAGCTTCGGACAGTTGATGGGTTGTTGAAGGATAGCACTCAATGTGCTCCCAATGGTTACTACTTCATTCCCGTATATGACAAGGTATTATTTCTTATTCTTTTTCGGTGTCGGGTTTCGCTGGATCTTTACATTTCACGTGCTCTCATACTTCAGTGATGATGTTGTGTTGTCTGTTCAATTATCGGAGGAGATCGCGAAGAGCCATACACTTGGTGTTGCTTACTCGACTGAAACTTCCGCGTTTTAATTATATCTTCATTGGTTCTCATTGCTGTTCTTTGAAATGCAGGGTTCGTTTGTAATTAAAATCAATGGCCCAGAGGGATGGTCATGGAACCCAGACAAGGTTTATTAATTTTTCTTTTCTCTGTATTTCTATCTATTCCTGATTTCCTATATGTGACACGTTGACTCAAAATTTGCGCTTGTCCTGAAATCTGACAACAGTAGTCTTTTCTAGGTTCCTGTTGTTGTTGACGACTCTGGCTGCAATGGCAGTGAAGATATTAACTTTCGGTTTACAGGGTGTGTTCTTTTGCTCTTATTTGAGTTTGCATGATCTTATAAGCATTTCTGTCCTTGCTTCGGACTTTTGGAATAAATTACCTTGTGGTATATGTGGGTAGGTTCTCCTTGTCTGGTAGAGTAGTGGGAGCCGTTGGCGGATGGAGCTGCTCCGTTCAAAATGGAGGTCCTCCAAATATTGAAGTTGAACTTTTGTCTGATACTGGTGATGTTGTTTCCTCTGTTATAACATCAGCAGGGGGTGTTTACGTGTTCAAAAATATTATTCCAGGTACAAAACTTGAGGCTTTGTGTATATCCCAACTCGTAAAGTTTTCCGATATGTGACATACTCGTCAACAGATATTGTGATTTGATTATTTTTCCGATGTCCTGTACACTTGACAGTTATGATTTGGTGTCCTTGTGAAACTGTAATTTTCTTCATGCATTGGTTGTTAATTGTGATTAGGTTTCTAGGACCGTTTTTTATTACTGAAAGATTTCCTTGTATTCACCTCTCTCATTTAGTCCATTGTTTCAGCAAATGAATGACTTTGCTATATCCTTCTTGTGTGCAGGAAAATATGAATTACGTGCTTCACACCCTGACTTGAAAGTTGAAATAAGTGGTTCAACAAAGGTTCATTTCTTATTCTTTCTTATGCCATATTGTTTTACTTTTCTTTTTGACGTGTGTTGTATTTCTTTCCCATTGAATTCACAAGGCCTTTCTTGGCAAATAAGAGTATATGATCATATATTAAGTTACTTGGTTTTATAAAATCACAACATGTGACTTGGTTTTATGATTATAATAGTTACTTGGTTTTATAAAATCTAGTTACTTTGTTTTATAAAGTTACATAGTTTCATAAGATTATATTACATTTCCACTGATAAGCCTTTATTAATTTATATGCCACTCATGTGGAAATAATATACTTCTTGCAGGTGAATTTGGGTTTCGGAAATGACGTAGTGGATGACATTTTCTTTGTCCCTGGGTATGATGTTCGTGGATTTGTTGTTTCTCAGGTAAAAATGTTACTTTAGAGATGATTGCTCAACATACAATTTGCTTTGTCTACAAGTCCTTATCTTACATATCTGCTATCTAATGAATTGAGAAATCTATCCATTAGTACAAGAGTTAGCTTGATCTATTTACAGATGTTTTCTTCTAATTAATGTTGGTTCCTCCTAATGTGGTGGTCAGGTGAAATTGGAGTTCTAGCTCATTTACTTGTACCATAGACTGATTTTTTTTCCTTCTTTCTTGTTTGGGGTAGGGAAATCCAATACTGGGAGTTCACGTTTATTTATACTCAGATGACGTCTTAGAGGTAGATTGTCCCCAAGGTTCTGGAACTGCCTCTGGAATGAGGAAGGCACTCTGCCATGCTGTATCCGATGCTCATGGGATGTTCATTTTTAAATCAGTACCTTGTGGTAATTATATATATTTTCTGTTTATTTGTTTTATTTTAGGTAGTTTCATTGCACTTTTTCCCCATGTGTGTCCGCTTTGTTTGTTCTCTTCTGCTTATTTATGCTATATATATTATAATATTCCATTGAGATGTGTAACTGATCGGTGCGTGTTAGATCATATAAGATTGTATAATTTTCAAATTTGTGGCCAACAAACTATATAGAAGCTGCATGTAGCATTTCTTCTATAACTAAGTGAACAATCTTACACATCAATGTGTAGGTCAGCTGAATAGATGCTTGCAATTCTTGTAGAAATCCACAATTTAGTTTTCCTTGGATAACCTATTAGAAAAATCTTGTGGGTGGATAAAATGATAGCTCCTACCCCCCAAAAGTTAAAAGAAAGGGTAGTGGGTGCAGACAAAGAGCAGAACATATATGTTCAGACTAATATTTATATGATTTTCTTTGCTAATCACTGTCTTGCTACCTTCATCAGAAATCCTAGTTATTGCGCTGCCTTATTCTGTTAATGAAGTTTCAAGATTCATCTGATTTGAAGCGCTCTTGCTTGGAAAATGCTCATCATACACATTACTGCTTTCAAATTGAACTTATTCAAATTGAACTTAGTGCTCAGTCTCATTGAATCATTTGCAGGAACATATGAGCTCATACCTTACTACAAGGGTGAAAACACAGTGTTTGATGTTTCACCTCCTGTCATGTCAGTAACTGTTGAGCATCAACACGTGACAGTTCCTCAGAAGTTCCAGGTAGGATGCATAGCGGCCTATGAGGTCAAAATTTAGACATTTGGTGTTTTTCTATTATTGAGCTTGGAATGTTCCAGGTAAGATGCATGGCGGCCTATGAGGTCAAAATTCAGACATTTGGTATTTTTCTATTAATGAGCTTGGAATGGGTATAGAATTCCGTTCCCATTTTCGCCAAGTTCAATCATGGGAGTTCTAATCATACCACATGGGTTTCAAACTCCCATGAAGAGGGAATTCTAATCATACTACAACTTTGTCTTTAAATATTCTTTGGTGTTTCTTTTTCTTTTGTAAGGGTATTATTTGAAAATAGGAAAAACTTTAATTCCTCTTACTACACAAACCAAACATAGGAATGGAAATAAAATGTATTTTCTTGTTACCATTTCCCAGAATTTTCAAACAAAGGATTGGAACCATTTCATTCCTAACCTCTTGGAATATGTATGGAAGTCCATTCCCAAATAACTCATTCTGCGGACCAATCAGGCCCCTTCAAAGTATACAAGATTAAACTTTACATTACTCTTACAAGTCATCTAGCCTCATGTGGTTTGGGTTAAATCTATTGATTGGCTGCCCATTCATCATTGTAAAAGTGTCATATTGCAAATATGTATAGCTGTATAAAGTTATGATACAAATACGTAATTCACACCGATTTCAATTAGATAGACAATTGGAAGCTCCTCCATCCCTTTGAAATTGTTATCTAATTTATTTGTGTATGCTGACATTAGTTACTTTTATGTTGTGCTGTGTTGTGATTTTTAGCATATATTTTACAGCTTTATCTTTTATTCTTGTTGCGTAGGTCACTGGATTTTCTGTTGGGGGCCGAGTTGTGGATGGAAATGATGAAGGCGTTGAAGGTGTTAAAATTATAGTTGATGGCCATGAAAGGTCCATCACTGACAAACAAGGGTATTACAAACTTGACCAGGTATAATTATGTATCTACTTTTCTTCCTTCCTGTTGGCTTTCTTGTTACACAATGAAATAATGAAAAAGCCCAAAAGCGCATAGCTGTTTTTTTGTTCAAATTTCTGGCATTTAGTTTAAATCAAATGCCCAACATTTTGGCCTTTCTACCTCCACCTAAGGGACAATACAACAACAACAACAACATCAAAGCCTTTTCCCACTAAGTGGGGCCGGCTATATGAATCCTAGAACGCCATTGCGCTCGGTTGTGTGTCACCTAAGGGACAATCATTCTCAAAAATTAAAAAGGAATGGTATGCCATATTGAAAGAGCAATTAGGCAAGTGAAAAAAGATGAACATTCTCCACTTCTTTTCCTCGTACAATTGCTCAAGGAGTGGCTAATAGTGCCTTGGTGTTTACCATTAGCTGTTCCTTAAACAATTATATGAGATGTGGGCCATTCAATTTTTCCCTGAGCCTCTGCACAGACAGAAACAAACTATAGTTCAGCTTCAGTAAAACACATGATACGCCAACAGGAAGAAAGGCACGTATTAAGTCTTCCTCTTTGAACATATTGCTAGTTATGCTCCTACTAAGATCAATTGTCTAGGATAGAATGCATACCTTGGGTGGTCTACTGA